TCCCCCCACCCACCCGACCGCCTGTGCTCTCGTGCCTGGCCACGCCCCCTTCCTCCCCTCCCCACCTCTTCCTTCTCCTTCCAGGGCGCATGAGAGATGTCTGCCACCAGCGTTGACCCCCAGGTAAGTGGTGGTGGTGGGGGGGATGGGGAGAAGGGACGGGAAGAGGAATTAGGCTCGTCTGAGCTGCCTCTTTCCCCCTCAAGGGAGTCGACTCCCTTCTTCCTTAGGTCTTCCTTTGCCTTCCTCTCCCCCATCTCGAATCACTCTCCCCCGTCTCAGATCTCTTCCTCTGTCTGTATTTTCTTCAGGCTCTCCATGGCTACAAGAACCTGGGGATGTCTACCTGTCCGTCTTCTTTCTCCCTCCCCAGTACATGTGTTCTCGTTATTTGTTTCGCTCACTTTTGCAGATGGTGCCTGTTGGATTCGAGTGTGCCTTCCCCCCCCCTCTCTTCCCCTGTTTAGGTTTTTTTTTTCTTCATCTGGTATCTGCCCCTTAGTATGTCTGAGCTATTTTCAGTGCTGCCTTACATGGGAGAGGACACATCTTGGATTGGTACAAGAGCACACTTTAAAAAGTTGTGTGATGCCCTCTGTATGTGTGGCCTAAGTAGCTGAAAAAACTGTTGTGTGTGGTAAACTTGGGTTTGGCCTTGTGTGGTGTGCGAAATGGCCCTTAGCTCTTGTAGTGGGCCCTTGGAGAAAGGAGATTTTCATTTTGTTCTCCATGGATGTTCCCCGTTTGTGTTCCAAAACTTAGCATCTCAGCCTTATCACCACTTCAGAAGCTGTACAGCATCTATCTTTAGCTCAAGCACAGTGTCTCTGTGTCTGGTCTTATCTGTCTTTACTTCCTTACTTAGTTTAGCTGGCATGGTTTGTTTTTTTTCTTTATTGGATGTGAGTGTGTGAGTGAGACAGTTTTCCTGGAATCTCTCCCTGTCTTGTGTAGGTTGCTCTTGATTTTAGAAGATGCAGGCTATAGCACTCCAGTCTTCAACTTTGGTATCAGTCTCTCTTTAAAATGCTGGCTGTTTTCCTGTATAGTATGCTCCCAGCTTAGGTTGCTCTGAGATCTATGTCTCCCCCCACATTGTTCTTTCCTCCTTTCAATTATTTTTTTTCTCTCTGAAAAGCATTGCTGGGAGCTAGGAAGGGTCTGTTCTCTGTGAAGAAGCCTCTCCTCTCTTTCTTTGGCCTTCTTTT